TGTACCCGCCGCCGTCGAATCTATTCGTGATAGCGATGTCTGCGATAAGTATAGTGTCGATGGGGAATGCAGGAATCATGGAATTGAAAGGGAAGCACATGCAGTATTCAAAACTATGGAATTTTGGCGTTGATCAGAAAATTCCTGCTGATAAAAAGGCTAAAATAGCCAGTAAAACTGGCATGATTTTAGGGTATACTCCTGCATTTGTTGCAGCAATTGGATCCTTTTTCCTGGTGCCGGTTGGGGATTATAGGTTTGATTTGCTACGTTCGGCCATCACTATTCATTTCTTCAAGAGGATCTTCGAGGTACTCGCCTCTTGCTCTCTCACTCTTATGCATACACTTGCACGTACAAAATCAATGACCATTTTGTGCAAAACTTGTATCATTACTTTCTATTTATAGGATGGAAATGAAGTCGATATTACGTAATACAGTGTTGGAAGAGCTAAAAAGTTATTATTATTATTATTTTTACTTGGACTAATATGTAAAGAAAAAAATTTACACAAAAAAATTCTTTGAAAGAAAAATTACCCTATTGAATATCAAATTTTCCATTTGTATAGAAGCAAGTTCAATCCTGCCAGAAAACTCACAATGACGAGGGGCTGCCTATCCAAATAAAATATTGCCAAAATTAAGCCGAATAATGCTTGTGATACATAATTTTTTGTACATAATGGGTGCTTCCACTCACATGTTGGGGGCCCGCATGATTATAATAATCATGCGGCCCCCCAACATGTGAGTGGAGGCACTACAAAAAATTTTGTACTTGTAGCAAACTCCAATTAAGCCACTCCTATTGTAAGGTGTCGATAGAGGTTCACCTTACCCGTACACCTAACATTGCTAGTTGAATATTGAAAATGGGCTGAGTGGATTGGAACACAGTTCAGTCCCCTAATTCGGGCCCACGATTTGATAAAAAGAAGTAATGGTTTTCATGAAACAAGTGGTTAAAAAGTAATTAGTAACCATGGATCTTGAGAAAAAAAGTGATTAGAATCATTCCACGTAAACTCTCTCACTTGTTTTCAAATTTTTTTATTATTTTAGAAAATTATATATTCGGACTTGATTATATACTTCAACGATCACTTGAATCCCCGTTTCATTTTATAACAAATCCATAAAAACTTACTGTTACTTTGAGCTCATAATTTTCTCTATGGATGTATATTCCTATTCATTTTATTCTGACTGGTAGGTGCTGTTTGTTCACAAATATAGCGGGTTCATGGACACTGAAGCTGCAATTGCAATCTCAATCAGCTACCTCGTCTACACAGCCACCATGATTTACTCTCATTATCTAACCCTAGGATTTCCAGAACCCCAAACTGACCTCAAGTATGTTGGAGCCTTATTGTTCTTAGTGGGAATTAGTGGCAATTTCTACCACCATTACCTTCTCTCCAAATTGAGAACAAAGGGTGAGAAAAAGTACAAAATACCCCAAGGTGGCCTCTTTAGTTTGATAATATGTCCACACTATCTTTGCGAGATCATTGGGTTTATAGGGATTTCATGCATTTCCCAAACACTATATCCATTTTGCTTTACAGTGGGCTCTGCATTCTATTTGACGGGAAGGAGTTGTGCCACTAGAAAATGGTACCAGTCTAAATTTGAAGATTTCCCCACACGTGTAAAGGCATTAATTCCTTACGTATTATAAATAGCTGTGGTGATGGATCATCAAAAATTGTGAGAAGAATATCATTGGAAATTATGGGTGTACAACAATAAGTGCTATACACCCAGCACAACTACTAATAGTTCTAGTGGGGTTTTGTTTGCTTGTTCGAGATGTAATATTACTATAATTGTAATAGATTGATGTTGGATGGTTGACCTTTATTTTTTAGGGAGTTTGTCTTGTATGATCTTGAGCTAGGGTAATACCTCAAATTGAGGTCCTACCTTGATCTGAAGGTTATATTTAGGGAAATTGCTGGAGTAACAGGGGGGCTGATCGTCCCCCTGACAGAACCCTACCAATTAGGCATGGGTCCCGCGCCAAAAAAAGGCTCGCCCCCCCTATTTGTGGGGTTCTATCAAGGGGACGGTCAGCCCCCTATTATTCCACCAAGGTCCTATATTTAGACCTCAATGTCATATTACAAATTTCTAAACCCTTGCAACATTTTTGGTAACTTACAAATAAGTAACATTGATCTTTCAAATTGATCTCGAATACAATTAGCGAGATAGATGTAATTTTTAAATCTATTTGAAATTTAAATTGAATATTAATCAGATTGCACGTGATCAATAAGAAGTTTAATATTTGGAAAATTTGAAGACTCAATTGCAAACTTTCAAAACATAAGATGGATCAATTATGGATGATTGTGGAGGATAAGCATTAAATTATAACGAACTGAAAGATGAAGGATTCATGATATAAATAAGAAGGAATTCGAGCTTGACAAAAAGATTTAGGGATCAAAATGAACGAAATGCAACTTGCGATTGCAAGGAGCCAAAGGTGGGAGGAAATTGTACTAGCAAGTCCAAAGCTTTCCGTGTGCAATCGCAATCAAATACGTTGTGTGTAAACTATGCACTTTGCGCCTCTCATGTTATACATGGGATTATGCTTTTTATTTTTTATTATTTGTCTATTCTAAATTTAAATAAGCAAAAATAAATCATTTTAGTTTTAAAAAGTTTAATTTTGTTGTACATAGTGATTTCATCTTAGTAATAAAAAAATTTATTCCCCATTTGAAAAATAAACAAATTATAATTGAAATATCTATTAGAAAGAATTATTCACGAAGAAAGCCAAGTAAAAAGAAATCTAAGTGCTTGTTTGGTAGGAATTTGATTTTTTGACCGTTAGTGAGAAAGAGGATCCTACATATAAAAGAAGAATTCAAAAATAACGGTTAGAATAGTGAAATAACGATAAAAAAAAATTGATTTTAATTGGCTTAAAATCTGTACCAAACAAGTACTAAGTCTTGAGACTTTATGTCAACTTTTTACTATTTGTTAATCAAGGAATATAAAACATATAATGAATAATTAATCGATTTTATTAAATTATTGTAAAACACGTGATTTAATTATTTGTGTAAATATGTTAATTATTTGTAGGGATGGCTGAGCGTCGGGTTCCAGGTCAAGACTATCCTCCCTTCCCTGTCCCATTCAAGGATTTTTTAGATGCGAGGTCGAAGGGAAAGGACATGGATTAAAAAATTCATATATATCGCAAAAAAATATATATATATGTAATTTAATAAAAAAAAAAAAGACAATTTTAAAATGGTATAAAAGGGTAAAGTGGAATATATGTATAGTTGGGAAGAACTACTTTCCTCGATTTCATGGAATATTGGTTAAATAAAATAAAAAAAAAATCTCAAATTAAGTTGCGTATCAAAATTAATAACGTGGATAAATATGTTGCGTGAAATGGATTGACTACAGGATCAGACGATTAGTTCAATTTCTATCTCTACTTCTAATTCTAATTTTTCCTTTAATGAGCATTCAATATTTTGAAATTAAACCATTGTTTGAGTCACATAATTTTTATAAGATTGCTTTTTTGAATAGTATATTGATGGCGAATGTATGATTAAAAAATAAGAATTTTTTTTGATTTAGATATAATATTATTTTATTGAAAAATATGTGGTTGAAATGATCTCAAATTATTGTTTCAGAATTTTTTTTATTTATTATTATTATTATTATTTTTTAAAGAATGTCGGTCAAACGGGGCCTAAATAAACTAATGATCAGTTTGATGATTTGAATAATTGGAGGTAACAATGAAAAGAGAAAATGTATCTAATACTTTTTATTTAAGAGTTGATCAACTAACACATTCGACGTCAATAATTGTACTTAGCATTATATTTAGTCAAAATGTTATAAAATAAACAATCTTAATGAAGGGGAAGATATACAATAATCTATAAAAAAGTTGCATGTGTATAGACGAATGTTTAAAGATCTCCGAACAGAAAAAACTTTTGATTGGCATGGAAAAGAAAATATATTTCCTCGTTTTTGAGGGAAAAAAAATGTTTTTTCTCAAAAACAAAGAAAATTAGACATTTTCAAAAGTTGAAATTTTTTGTCATAAAAAATAAGACAATTAAACACTCCCAGAGTTGAAATTTGGGTAGAAAGATATCATTTTTCATTTTTCCAATAATGAGAAAGAAGTTAAAATGTATCAGCTATAAGAAGTTAATGAAGAAGAATTTATGTATTGGTTACAACTTACTCTGTATAACCCAATAAATATCAATAAAATCTGCTTTTAAACAAGAATTGCTATCTCTATCTCTATCTCTATCTCTATCTATGTAATTCTTATTTTCAACTACAAAAATATAAGAGTGCGTTTGATTGTCAATATTTTTCATGAAAAATATCATTTTTTCATCCAAATTCTTACTTTTGTTCTGTCTAATTGATTTTTTTCATGAAAAATATTTTCCTACTTTTAATCATATTTTCCTTAAAAAGAAGGAAAACAATTTTTTTTTTTAGGAAGAGTAGGTTTTATTTTCCAAGTAATTTTTTCTTATCTACCCACCAATAAAAAATGAACAAATATACTATTTTATAGGTTAAAAATTAAATCAGTCGAGCACATTTGATTGACAATTTTTATGCAAATATGTTATAGACAATTAAATTTCTTAAAATTTATTTTATTTTCAAATAAATTTTAGAACCAAACACACCCTATTTTTTTTCTTTTAAACGAATTAATCTATCATATATGTTATTTCTTTTGATAATATTATTAAAAAACTGAAATAGATAATGCTGAGGTGTCGTTACTAGGTCTCCTGAAGATGGAGAGTTTTGCTAGGAAAACAAGACCACGTATGTTTTTCCGAAAATGAAAGTCGCTGTTTTGGTTGCAACTGCCATGAGTTGTGTTGCCTCTTTCTCTCATTTGATACCAACACGCAATTGTAATTGCCTCTCTATCTCTCTCTCTCTCTCTCTCTCACATCAACTCTCACATTCATAAACCCCGCCCAACACGGCTACCACGCACGGCAACCGTCAAAATTTGGTGAATATGGTTTCATCTACACTACTGAAATTCATGTACCCGCCGCCGTCGAATCTATTTGTGATAGCGATGTCTGCGATAATTATAGTGTTGATGGGGAATGGAGGAATCATGGAATTGAAAGGGAAGCACATGCAGTATTCGAAACTATGGAATTTTGGTGCTGATCAGAAAATTCCTACTGATAAAAAGGCCAAAATCTCCAGTAAATCTGGCATGATTTTATTTTATACTCCTGCATTTCTTGTCGGAGTTGGCTCCTTTTTCCTGGTGCCGGTTGGGGATTTTAGGTTTGATTTGCTACGTTCGGCCATCACGGTTCATTTCTTCAAGAGGATCTTCGAGGTACTCGCCTCTTTCTCTCTCTCTCTCATGCACACACTCGCACGAACAAAATCATTACTTTATATTTGTAGGATGGAAATGAAGTCAATGTTATGCAGCACAGTGTTGGAAGAGCTAAAAAGTTGATAAGATTCATTTAGGATCCGACTTTTTTTTTTTTTTTTTTTGAGTCGGATTAATATGTAAAGAACGAAATTTACACATAAAAAAAATTAATTTAAAAGAAAAATTACCCTATTGAATATCAATTTTCCATTTGTATAGAAGCAGGGTTCTTCCCTGCTTTCGAAAGAATCCTACCATAAAACTCACAATGACATGAGGTCCACCTAAATTAAAAATGACCAAAAAATAATCCACCCCTATTGTGAGATGTTGGTAGCGTTCACCCTACCCATACACCTAGCATTGCTGGTTGAATATTGAAAATGGACTGAGTGGATCGGAACCAGTTCAGCCCCCTCAATTCTGGCCCATAATTAGATTTCGTGAAACAAGCGGTTAAAAAGAAATTAATGACCGTGGATCTCGAGAAAAAGTGATTAGTAATGGTGGATTCTGCATAAACTCTCGCACGTGCTATACATGTTTTCAAAATTTCATAATATTTTAGAAAATTACATATTCTGACTTGATTATATAATTTAATGATTACTTGAATGCAAAGTCGGTTTTGAGGTGAGGCAAATGAGGCCCTCGAGCCCAAGACCATGAGGGGCCTCATTTTAGCCCATAATTTTTTTATTTTTATTTTTTTTAAAACGAGGTCAAACAGCCCAGATCCAATGGTGTGGGATTTGATGTAAATTTATTAAAAACAAAATCTAAAATGGTTAAATTTGAGGTTTATTTTCTTGAAAATGGTGTGGGATTTGATGAATTTTATAAATGGATGTCTATAAATATTCATGTCGTTGTCTTATTTTTGTACAAAAATTTTGTAAAAATAGATATTTATGTGATTGTATTTGTTAAATCCATGTCGTTGTCTTATTTATATACAAAAACTTTGCCAATATATTACTACATTGTACAATTCTTTCATTATAGATATACTTTAAAAGGGACAGAAAGTCGTATTTTAATGTATATGTATATTTTTGTTTAATTTTAGTTAATAATAAATCTTTAGTCAATTATGCCGATTTCTTAATCCGTACTTCCACACTTGGCACAAATTCCTTCACTCTATGATTAAATATTTGGTTTTGTTATTTTTTAATATAAATATTTTCTATATTATATTTGGTTGTTGTTTAAATGTTAGTTTTAAGTTAGCAATAGGTCGCATAATATACCGTTGAATTTTGTATTTACGTTGATTTCGTTGGGGCCTAATTTGTGGAATTCGCTCAGGCCCCAACAATTACAGGACCGGCCCTACTTGAATCCTCGTTTCATTTTATAACAACCCCATAAAAACTTACTGTTACTTTGAGCTCATAATCTTCTCTATGGATGTATATTCTCATTCACTTTATTCCTTATTCTGACTAGTAGGTACTGTTTGTTCACAAATATAGTGGGTTCATGGAAACTGATACTGGAATTGCAATCTCTATCAGCTACTTCGGCTGCGCAGCCACCATGATTTACTCTCATTATCTAACCCTAGGATTTCCAAAACCCCAAACTGACCTCAAGTATGTTGGAGCCTTATTGTTCTTAGTGGGAATTAGTGGCAATTTCTACCACCATTACCTTCTCTCCAAATTGAGAACAAAGGGAGACAAAAAGTACAAAATACCCCAAGGTGGCCTCTTTAGTTTGGTAATATGTCCACATTATCTTTGCGAGATCATTGGGTTTATAGGGATTTCATGCATTTCCCAAACACTATATCTATTTTGCTTTACAGTGGGCTCTGCATTCTATTTGACGGGAAGGAGTTGTGCCACTGCCACTAGAAAATGGTACCAGTCTAAATTTGAAGATTTCCCCACACATGTAAAGGCATTGATTCCTTACCTATTATAAATAGCTTTGGTGATGGATCATCAAAAGTTGGGAGAATATTATCATTGGAAATTATGTTTTAATATTTGATAAGATCTAGGAATCTTAGTAGATTACTAGGATTCTTGGTGTAATTGAATTAATAGTTCTAGTGTGGTTGTGTTTGCTTGGTTGAGATGTAATATTACTATAATTGTATCAGATTGAAGTTGGATGTTTGTTTGGTTGAGATGTAATATTACTATAATTATATTTGGATTTTTGCTTGGTTAAGATACTATAATTGTATCATATTGATGTTGGATGGTTGACCTTTATTTTTCAGGGAGCTTGTCTAGTATGACCTTGAGCTAGTCTAATGCCTTGGAGCATTACCCTAGGCATAGGTTAATACCTCCCCATTGAGTTCCTATCTTGACCTGGAGGATGTATTTAGACCTCAAGGTCATATTCAAATATCTACTTGAAGTAAAAAATGGGGACACTAGATTGAGATCACTACAAAAAAAAATAATAATAATAAAAAACTAGATCCAGCGATCAATTAAATTGGTCACTAAAAGCTATTTTTTGGTAGGTAAATACCTTTAGCGATCACAATTACATGGTCGCTTGCTGGTCAGTAATTCACCATCTGTGAAGGTTTTAATCGACCAATAGAGCATGGTCCCTATATATACAACATACAGTGACCAATTGTTGGTTGCCAAAGGTTGGTGCATGAATGTCTTTTGCAACCAATCACGTGGTTGGTAAATGTTAATGTCTTTACCGCCCAATGTTGTGGTTGCTTGTGGCCGATAAATTTTAATGTCTTTAGCGACCAATGCTGTGGTCGCTACTTGTGAACATCCAGTGACCAATGCTATGACCAATAAAGGAAAAAATTATTTGATTTTACATGCTTTTGCAACCAATCTTTGGTCAGTGAACATTAATAAATATTTTAAAACCCAATATTTTTTATTTTTGCTAATATTTTATCCAATATTTTAGTTTTCAAAAATCACAAAGATGGTTGAAATTAACAAATTCGATAATCGAAAAAATAAAAATTGAAAAGAAACATATCGCCATAGAAATAAAATTGTATTGCACATATTTCAAGTATTAATAACCCTAAATGACTAATATTTAACCACAAAAAGATGAATTATAACATCAACACTTGATTGAGTTGTCCTGTTTACATCAAATTGAGCTGTAGAAAGTGTTGACATAGGAATGTTTAATTTATTAGAGTGTTGTCCTTGCCCACAACGAGATGGACTTCCATTGCTTGAGTTTGGAGGAATAGCAGGTGACACGCGCTTCGACTTTCTTTTTGGTTGCATCTGTATAGGCATTAAAAAAACATATAATGAGATCAATAAAGAAATGATATCTTACATAACCATTACCTATTGCATAGACAACAGAGATCAATAAATAATGGTAACAACATAAGTCCAATCTTATGTGCCAACCTTAATGTGGACTATAACAAATTCAGGAAAATTAAATTTAAACACAAAATTCAGCCAAACGTTAGTTTTTCAGCAAGACTAGAAATCACCCTATAAATAAAGTTTGAAGCAAGTTAAGTAAGTTTTGAAACACCTGCCGTTGATTAGCTGCATATCCAAATGATGTCCAACACAAGATTTCAAATATGTCTGGCCAAAGTTGCCATCAATTTTAATCTGATAGCTAGTGCAGAACATCTCATTCATTTCTGGATTTGTTCACAACTTGACATGCCTAGTATAAGAAATTCAATAGAAACAGTAATCATATCTGTGTACATGGCATGTATTTAAAAGGGCGGTCCATTCCATTCTAAATTATCTATGATGTGGTTTTAATTAATATGATTTATACTCAAGCTTGATAAAGTAACCAACTCCAGTAGTTAGTGTCAAAAAATGGTAATGATATAGGAAAAAGATGCAGAAGTGTGAAAGATTACTAACCAATGGTGAGCATATTAGCAGGTGCATTTACAAGCGCTTTTTCCAAATATTATCTGAGAACAATAATCCACTGCACATTTGAAGGTTAAATAAAGGTAAAAAAAGAAAAAGAAAAAAAAGAAGTACCAGTAGCCATTGCTGAAGCAATGGATAGTTTTAATTCAAAGAAAGCCCTATAGAGATTCAAATTCATAAATAAACTAATAGTTTGCACCAGATTTCCAGAACACCAGTGGAACAAATAGCACCATTTTATGGGTATCTGCAGTGTCGAAAATGAAATAGCGGCCATTTTATACATAGATGCAAATAGAGAGATAGGAAGAGAAAGAGAAAGGAACCTTACACCAAAACCAATACCACCTGAAGAAAAGAAATCAGCACAAAAAAGTCAGTCCTAATATATAATTTATGCAAAACACTTGAGATTTTAGATTGCGCCTAAATCCAAAAAACACACAATTTTCACCAGAGGGGGTTTCTTGAAGAGCTTTTTTAAGTCACTCTACATCAAGGTTTAAATTTTAATGGTATAAATATGAAATGATAGCATCAAAATGAAGAACATTAAAGTAAATGACAAACATATTTACCTGGACAGCATCATGAAGGTGGTCATCTCTTTTTCTTCCAACAAACCAATCTTAAGAAAATGATAACACTCAACCAAATGATTCAATACAGAGTAAGTGACTTGTCTAGTTTTCCCAACACACAGTACCTTGTTTGAAATTATTGAGCAAGTCAAAGGAATGGATCAATAATATACTTCTCGTCTGCAGCCTAATCCAAAGGGAATATATTTGAAGCAACGTTCACTATGAAAAACAGAGTTAAGTAATCTATTGATGCTTACCAGCCAAAAACCACCAGTGACATGGATAATCAGACTCTAGGCTTGACTCAAGCTCATCTGCTTTCTTTATAGCACATTCTCTATCTTCATCTGATGCATATGCCAAATTCGAGAGGTTCCGGGTCCGATTGGTAACTCTACAAATGCATTAACCCAATAAGGAACAATGTTCTACACAATAATTGCATTGTTAACAAATTAAATCAATTTGCTAGAAATTTTTAAAAACCATTTGCAAGGAGTTTACCATCTGGCAGAGTTATAAAAAGGCCTAAAAGGGGAGCCACAGTACTTTGTAAGTCAAATAAGAGGACAAAAGAGAGATACCGGTGTGGGTTTGGGATAAGAGGAGTTTTTGAGGGCTATAGAAGTCTTTTCCTGTTCTCTTCCAATCTTTGCTCGCGTAAGGCCTCATATTTCACTTTGGACATCACCGTTTTTGCCTTTTTCCTTTCGATTCTGTAGGTTTAAAGAGAGTTGGAGAAGCCAGACAGGTAAACTTTACTTCTCCTTTACCAGGAGTAGGTGGCTGGCTGGCGGTGCAAGTGACGCACTGTTGCGCAGATGGTGGACGCGGCATGGTGGCAAAGCGGTTAGGGTTGAAAACAGGGTCGGCACGTTTTGATTTATGAACGAGTGAAGGGAAGAGAAGAAAAAGAAGAAGAAAAGCAGCATAACTACCTATAGGAGTGGCCATTACAATCGCCTGTCCGGTTGCAGTAGAGAGGCGAGGCCACGATAGGCGGAAAATACATCAAAATAGTCTAAATAAAAGGAGGATTTTCCAAATTAGACTAAGAAATAAAAATATTTCCAAAATAACTTTTAAAAAATTATATTTCCTAAAATACCCCTTATAGAGAAATTGCAATCAAAGTCACTACAATGTATAAAAATCCTCAAATAAGCCCCCAAAGAAATATAGATCAAAATTCATTAATAAATTTAGATCCAAATATTATACAAAATTTTATTGACCTAAAAAACGCTACAGAAAATGAATTAAACTATTTGGAAGAAGATCTGAAAGACTTCTTTATAGAATATTTAGACCCAAAACTAAAAAATAAAAATGATTCCATAGATGATGAAGCAATCAAAATGGAAACAGATATATATAAATTAATTCTTAATTTAAGAAGGAGAATTAAAGAATTAAACATAATTATTAAAGAAAAAAATATTGGTAAAAAATAGTGAATTTTATAAATTCCATTGTGATATTTTAAATACTTATGAAGAATTTAATTGGCTTAAAAATATTAACCCCTCCGCTGCACACTCCGACAAAATGGTATCAGAGCCATGTTACGAACCAAAAATTATGATGAATATAGTAGATGAAGAAAATATAATTGAAGAATTTTTGGAAAAGGTTAAAAAAACATAAAAAACTTAGTTATCCCTATTTACCTAAAAATACTACAAATGAAATTATTGAGGATATACATAAAAGACTAGAAAATCTAGAATATAATCTACAAGTAGGAAATGCATTATTAGATAATAATCTTAGAGGAAAAGATAGGATTATAATTAATCCACCTCAAGATTTTAGAGTAACAAAAAATAAAGGGAAAAAACAGGAAGAAAAACAACATATGATTACAGATGTAGAAGAAATAGAACAAAAATTTTTAGAATCTACAGGTGAAGAGTATGAAGAATATAAAAAACAGTTAGAAGAATTAACTGAAAAAATGGAAAATATAAAGATGAATACTAATCCATCTTCAAGTCAAGATATAAAAGTAGAATTCAGTAGTGATGAAGAACAAGATTTTCCTTATGGTACCCCAATACCTGATAAGGCTGATATCAATCAATATAAAAAAACACAAAAAAGATATACTGGAAATGTAAGAAAACAATCCATAAAAGAAATAAATCCAATGAAATCTTATAATGAACCAATCCACACAACAGGAGAATGGTTAGATTTAGATTGTGTAGATAAAAATAAAGCTATTGAGACATGGATAAAAAGTACTGACTTAGCTATACAATTTAATAAATGGGAAACATATACAGTTTTTGGATTTATAGAACATACATTTAGAGGAACTGTCTCTGAATGGTGGAGAAAGTTACCAGAAATTATCAAAGGAAGTATAAAATATGGAGCAAATAGAACTGGAGTATTAGATAATAGAAATTCCCTAAATGAACAAAATATACAGGAAATATTAAAAAGATTTGAAAAAATCTTAAGAATAGAATTTCTAGGAAATAGACATACTTCTAATGAAGAAGAAAGAACACAAGAAGAATATAATCAAGGAATGATTGCAATGAAAAATCTAAAGATATGTGCTATGTGTGAGTTAGAAAGATATACATGTAAATTTGAAGAATTATACTATATATTAAACCAAGGAAATTATCAAGAAAACAAACCTATTCTAAGATCTTACTTTACAAAGTTACCATTCCCATGGGGAATTAAGTTACTAAAAGAATATGAGAAATTATTGCCTCTAGGAAAAGAGGAAGGAGTTGAAATAGATAGTCTTGGAAGTAGAATTGAATTTACAAAAAGAATGATAAGTATGTGGTGTAGAGAAGCACTAGAAAATAAGAAAGCTTATAAAATAAGAAAAAATTCATTATGTTGTTACAAAGATAACGGCCAGGTAGAACAATTTGGATGCTATAAAAAGAAGTATAAACCATATAAGAAATATAAAAGAAAATTCAAGAATTATAAAAAATTCAGTAAAAGGAATTTTAAACCATATAAAAAATATTTCAAGAAAAGAAATTGGAATAAAAAATTTAAACCAAGATACATTAAAAGATGTAGATGTTTTATTTGAAATGAAAAAGGACACATTACCCCTCAATGTCCTAAAAAGAAAGATAGACAAAATATAAAAACTCTTAAAATTTATGAAAAATTCCAAGATGATAGTGATATAGAACCAATTGAATATTTTGAAGATCTAAGCAGTGAATGCAGTAGTATTTATGAATTAGATACATCCTCATCAGAGGAAGAATATGAGGAAATAGTATATATGAATCAAGAAATACAAAAATCAGAGATAGAAATAGAAACAACTGAAGAAGTTGAAGATACTATAGAAGGTATAAATCAAGAAATTACCTTTGATATTAAAAAATACGCAGGAATCACTAAGAAGATATTAGATCTACAAGAAAAAGATGTATTCCATCAAGGATTCTTAGGAATTTTACCAAGAGTAAATAAAACAATTGTAAGTATGAATTATAAAGAAATGTCTATCAATATAGAAGATACCATAGGAAAAGCAAGAATTCCTATAATTACAAAAGAATGGGTAAAACAAAAGTTATCCAAAATTCCAGAAAATGTAAGAAATAAATTAAAATGTATTGAATTAGGAGGAGTCCAGATAATGGTAAAAGGATTTTTTAGAGAAGGTATGAATATACCAATAGAAATATATTTTATGGATAATAGAATCTTACAAGATCCTATAGATGCTCTATTAGGAACAGTTATAGGAAATTTAGTCTATCAGAAGATAATATTTACAGTAAAACCAAATTATGCAATATCATTAGGTGATGAAAATATTGACCAAAGCTTCAATCTATACTATAGAATTGGTAACTTGAAAATGTTACGAAGAAGTAAGGCTGTTAGTATAAGCATAAAATCGATTTTTGCTTTTAGTACTAGCCATCATAACAATTTAAGAAAAATAACTGATAATATTATCATACATAAAGATTTTGAGGAGTTAGCACAATATATACCTCCTAGAAAATACCAAGAACATGAAGTCACTATACCAGAACAAATAATGCTTGATTTCCATAAACAAGCTAGAGAAATTAACTCTGAAGGAAAATTAATAAGAAGAAATAGTGTCAGCTTAGAAGGAGATAATCTTATAGCAAGATTTCCCTCGAGACAAGACTATAAGATAAGCAGACTTAAGAATCTAAGTATTGCTGAACCATCAAGTTCGCAATATTATATCAAGACAAGATATGTGAACCAAGAAGGATATAAGAAGAATCTTCTTGTCCTCATAGATACTGGAGCAGATAAGAGTCATGTAAATGCTAAATTTGTTAGTCATCTAACAGAATTTGAGATATCAGAACCATACATATTTAAAGATTATTTAGGAAATAATCTTGAGATCAGAAAATATGTTAAGTTCCCTCTTATACTTATAGGAGAGGATCAAAGAGAATATACTAAAGAAATAATTCTATATAAAGATGAATTATTTGGAGTAGATCGTTCACCTATTCTACTGGGAATGAACTTTCTTTAGAAATATAGTCCTTACAAAATTTGTCAAGGATATTTAAAGATAACAGTTGATGATAATCCAATCATCAAATCAAGAATAAATGAAAATATGAAATCATTATTATCATGGAAAGAATAATTTGTACTAATCCCATGAGTTCATATATTGAAATTATACTTAATGTAAAAGGCTATTGTAGAATTAAATTCCATGCTTACTTAGATACAGGAAGTACAATAAGTTTATGTTTACCAAATGTACTACCATCTGAATGCTGGAAATACAACTCGAAGAAGATAGTAACTGCCACAACAGCAGGTGGAAATAAGGTAGTATATAGCAAGTATGCTAATCAAGTATCTTTTCTAATTTTCTTTAGAGAAGTATTTGTTGATACAATATATATGTCAACCACAATTGGATGTGATATTTTATTAGGACAGAATTTCCTATTAAAATATGCACCATTTACACAATATATTGATAAATATATGTTCACAACACCTTGTGCACATAGGATATTTACACCAAAAATAAATAAGGCTGTTACAATTGCATATAGAGAAATAAACCATCAGAGTTCCTCAACCCAGCGTGGTGGATGTTGGAGTACAGAAAAATTTAAACCAGTTACAGTCTTAAAAATAACAACAGAAAATAGGATTGAAAAATTAAAAAAAGAAATTTCTGAAACATATTCTGAAAATCCATTAGAAAAATGGAATATTGATAAAGTAAATGCAAAAATAGAATTAACCAATCCATATACTATTGTTAGAGTTAAACCTATGAAATATAGTGTTGATGATCAAAAAGAATTTAAAAATCAGATAAAAGAATTGCTAGAATCTAAATTAATTAGGCCTAGTAAAAGCCCACATAGCAGTCCAACCTTTATGGTTAGAAAACATAGTGAGATAAAAAGAGGAAAAGTCAGAATGGTGATAAATTATAAAAAATTAAATGAAGTAACTAAATTTGATGGATATTACTTGCCAAATAAGGATACCCTTATTAAACAAGTACAAAACAAAAAGATATTTTCAAAATTTGATTGTAAGTCAGGGTTTTGGCAAATCATGCTTACAGAAGAAAGTAAACCACTAACTGCATTTAGTACCCCCAATCCTTTAGGACAAAACGAATGGAATGTAATGTCATTTGGGTTGAAAAATGCACCACAGATATTCCAAAGAAGAATGGATGAGGTAATTAAACCAATTACTCATTTCTGTATTGCATATGTAGATGATTTACTTATTCATTCAAATAATATTAATGAACACATTGAGCATCTTGAGAAATTTTGTTATATCATGAAAAAACATGGTATTACACTTCTCAAAAGAAAGCTGAGATAGCTAAAACAGAAATTGAATTTTTAGGATTATTTATAAAAGAAGGAGAATTGCAGTTGCAATCTCATATTGGTGAAAAACTTCAAGAATTTTCTAAAAAAATCAAAGATAAAAAACAATTACAAAGTTT